CGGCAACGAGAATGAGGATGTGAGATTAATGCGCCGCATTAAGCGTGCAAAATCCAGCTACTTTATTTATGGCGCAAATACAACGACTTGACCGCCAAGTCATTGAACACTTTGAGTTCATGATGCAACGATAAAGTGATGTATAACGAGGCGTGCCTGGAAAATGTGTAATCGCCGCGAGAATTTGCAAGGAAATTGATGCTCTATCAGTCGGCCGCCTCACGGCAATTTGTTTTCCTAGACGTTTCATACTTCACGATCTCGCGTGTGCTTGTAATCGTTGGGCCCCTTACTTGCTATTGACTGGGTCACATGAGATTGCGGATATGAGTAAATTATGAGGGCGACACGCGTGACAGAGAGAAAGTAACTTGTATAAAAAATTTGACAATTCTGAAATTATTACAAATAAATTAATGCTGTTAGGAATTTCCTCAAAGTTTACTATCGATTTCCTCAAAGTCTGTCATCGATTCTCTTAATAATGGTTAGAAAATAATTATTTAATTGTAATGTTGTTCGTTTAAAGTCGATGAAAAATTTTCATGTTAAAATTGTCACCGGATTTGGATAATTTGTATTAATCTGCATCGTAATCTACATCTCTTTCGCGTTTCATTTTGTATCTGTTCGTCGACATCTGTTAACAACATAACATTGTTGTCGGCGTTACTCGATAATCAATCAACAAACAATTGCCGTTGTGCGCGATCGGAAGCAGTAATGTCATCCGGTGCGATAAAGGGATTTCATCACATACAATTAATCGATTCGTTTTCCTGTAGAATAGAAAATAAATTATCTAATTAACTGCGTAAAAAAAGACGCCCTTCTTAAATATTTGATCGCGTGCAACAGGGATGGCATTAATGCGCTTTCATGTATACTTTGCCTCACTTTTTCCTCCGACCGACGTAATTTAATACAATTAATGACCACACCCGTGCGGCCTTGATCGCGAGTGATTGTCGTTCGATATATCGAGCGCGGCATCGAAATTGCGACAGAAAGAATTTGCCGGGAATGTCGTTTGACGTAACCGACGGCGTGATTGTTGCGTGACGTCGCACCGGTGCGGTGGTCGGAAATGTTTCTACTCGCAGGTGCACCGCGAATCTGAATATTTCGTGTCGCAATGCGAGGTATAGCCATGGTAATGCGGAAAAACGCATTCGAGCGTTTCCACGCATCGACACTTTTGGCACAGCACATCTTAGATAATGTTTAATATTTTAAATTACATCTTCAATACAATAATCCGATCATTTTCCTAATAATTCAGGCAAATCGATAATCTTTGCAAACACCAATTTTTAATTGCACGGCACTGTCGAGGTGAATTAGCAAGTTAAATGATCGATTAAATGTATGAATAAATATCGCACGAAAGACACGAAATGTATTCACATATGCAAGAATACAGAAATGTCCAATCTTAATAAATTGCATTTTTTCCCCCTCGTTTCAAATTGCTATTGAATTTCACTGATTCCAATTCGCAGTTGGACGCTTCGCAGTTGCAGAACGTCAAACTGCATTACACGCAAATTTGTTTAACGCTGGCAATTTAAGTATCGATTGTGAATATCCATTAAGCTACGCGTCACAGCAGATTGGCACATTCCGGCATACACCATCGAAAAATTGCCGGTCGCCGCAGTTCGTTAGTTAACCAGCGCCGCGACGCATGCAAGAATTTTAATACGCGCTCTTGTCACATTCTACTTTCCACGGCCAGTTTGCGCCGCTTGGCGACGCGTAAAAAAGTGAAGCATTTCCTTTGCCTCCGCTGGGAAAGAGCGCACGGCTTTGTTAATTAACTTAATTGACAGCTTCGGAGTAACATACTACGTATCGCACTGAAGAGACCCGTAAATTTTTTGTCACGCCTTGGAATTCATAGCGATGCCCGCATCTTTGAGTTATGGCGAGCTACGCGACGATATCAAGGGAACCAATTGACACTTGCGCGACTTGATGAAGACTAACGGTTGCCGCTAATATAAACTTTTAGGATGACTTAATGATACACGAAATTTTCCCAGAGCCACGATATATTAATGTGAGAAAATCATAATCTCGTATCGCGACGCGTCACACGCGTCACACGCGTGTGTCCAATATTATTTCACACCGTAAACACGTTGTAAATAAAAAATAATGGTATTGAAATTTGTGCCTTTAAATATTTTAACGATGGTATTAAACTATCAACGTCCATACTTGTGTGCCTTTATGTGGCGGAGAATTATGATAAGTCGTAATTTCCAGTCTTTTTACGTAAGTCTAAACGCTCGTTATTAACACGATTAGTCATGTAAACTACTGCACAATGCTTCCGCAATATAAGGCCATTTTTAAGAAGATAATTCGGGTTACCTGAATTTTAATCGCGCTTACACATCTGTTATTCCGGTTGTTCGGTACGACAGTACATGCATTTCCACGTGAATCAATGGTCCGTTTTTCCGCATTACCATGGCTATACCTCGCATTGCGACACGAAATATTCAGATTCGCGGTGCACCTGCGAGTAGAAACATTTCCGACCACCGCACCGGTGCGACGTCACGCAACAATCACGCCGTCGGTTACGTCAAACGACATTCCCGGCAAATTCTTTCTGTCGCAAATGGTCTACGAAAACGCGTGAATTATCTTTATAGCGTGTCTCTAATATATTCAATGTATAAATAGATGAAACAGACCTTTAAATACGAGAAGATACAGATTACTCAAGCAAAAATTGTAGATTAAAACGTGACGATAAACCATCTTTTTGCATTTATGATTCAAATAAACACGATAAAAATTCACGGGGTGGCAGTAATTTGATACTTGATGAGCTCAGATGATTTAAATGTTTAAACGTGAGGAGAAATGCTTCGTCGACGGACCGAGATGAAAAAGATATTATAAGTCGCATCGTATGATTCTGGATCAGAATTTAGACTTTATAATAGTAAGTTTAATTACGCTAAGTGTCACAATAACTGACAGATATTTATGACGTTATCCTAGCAAATTTCCACAAAAAAGTATCTTTTCGGCGAAGCGACTGAGCAATAATTTGACAGAAGAAGAAATGCATTGTATTCTGTCATACCAGAAACCGCTTCTTAACATTGCTTGTTACATATTTATATTAATACATATTTAGTGTTTCGAAAAATTTATTCCTAGAATTGACCCTTGTGATTATTACGTCCCCCCTACATCAAACGTTAGATTAATTAAGAACACGAATGTACGAAGCGTAGCATCACGCACGAATTGAGTCGAATGCCACAATTATGAGACAGGGGATCAGCCATCTCGTTATTAATTAGTAATTGGAATTAATTATGGGAATCAGCTCGCTCGCACGCGAGCATTATCAGATCGGCTTACATTCTCAAGCGAATCGAATAACGGTAACTTCCGACACCTTCCCGATGCAATAAAACATCTTCGCGTCCGTATATTACAGCGCATTGTATGTGTATTTATTTGTAAAATCAAATACATCTAAATATAATCTTAAGTAATTAAAAAAAAATGTATTCTTGGAGATGAATTTTGCGCGAGAAAGACTGAAATTTGTTTAATGATTCAAACTAAAATCCTAGTAACGAAACTAGCGTATATCAGATTTATTTAATGGCACGACCGAGATTACCTCACGTCATATACGTATATTGAAAGAGAAACCAAATTCAGGATTGATGCACTTCACAAACTTCAAGATGCCAATGAGATTCTAAATATACGTCAAATTAATCAACACCTGTATCGAAACGGTGACGTTAATCCCTGACTACATATGATGGATGTGAAAAAGATTGATCTGTGTGTCGAATGCATAAGAATTCATAATCGCATCTAACGAGCGAAATGAGTTAGTACCTTGCCACTCTTTGATTAATTTACATAAATACACTTTATAAATAAATTCATATTCGTGCAAGTGTTGGAATATGGAATCTCTCGCTTCGGCGACAGAGAGAAGAAATGTTCTTCGAAAACTCGAAAAGAACTAGCAAACCTTTTGTCCTTTATAGGGTCGTAATAGGAAACACGTAGCTTTCCAAATAATTGACTTGTGAACAAAATTTACATTAACCCCTGCACCGCCTCAAAATTGAACCGTTCCAGCTGCTTCACGACGATATACTTTCCCTCGTCGAATTATCGAAAGCAGTCTACGCATCCGGATAATATCGACGAATTACGTGGAACAAGAGTGGTTAACACACGGTAAATTTCGATTGACCGCGGGGGTCAACGATTGGTCGATCAAGTTCAGCAGCCAGTTAGCCGACAGTTAGTCTGCTGTCGTTCGGCTAACGACTTAATGACGGGAATTCGCCACTTACGAGTTCCTCTTTTTCTCCCCCATCCTATCCTCCTGTCTTTCTCTTTCCCCGCTCCTCTTTTGTCCGCAGTTCTTTTCCCCTCTTTTATCGGCAATGCTGTTCGCGTAAAACAACGCGGTCGACAGACCAGCAACCACGTCGGAAATTAGCCGAACGCTTAAACGGGATTGTCATTAACCATTATCGTACCGCGTCAACAACTAGCTATAGAAATAAATTCAAATAAGAAAATACACGCCAAAGTGAGTGACAAAATAATGGATCCGTTTTTCTTTCGAACTTTCCAAGACTTCTTCTCCTTTTTCCTTTTGTTTTAATTATTTTAAAACTAAAAACAAGTACGTAAAATATGTTGTCAAAAGGAACGTATTTAATATTCTTTAAATTCCCAAGATGTTTCCATGAGTGGAAGTTATTTATAATTTGATTATACTATTGTATACACATCGTTATTTTAAAAAATGCGCAACCGTCCGCGTCTCCGATTATTATATAATGCCACTGATTATTCGTGTTATATTTTTACGACTATTCTTTGTGTTCCCAAAACAACAGTGTCGTAATACTAAAAAAAACATCGACATTACGATAAATACATTATAACAGATAATTGTGTTAATGTAACAGTGATGTAACATATAATATTTGTGCTCGTTATTTTCGTATATCTTCTACAAAATAACTTTACTTCTTACATCATCATTATATTATTACACATTATCTAACATCTTTAACTTGTCATCGTTTTGTCTTTAAAGGCATAAACTATATTTATTGCATTTTAAAAACAGAAAAAGCACACGGTAAACCTGTTCATAACCAGTTCAAATAAAACGACAATGGCGTGTGCCTGAGATATAAATGCTGTACAATATAATGTTAGCGAAGACACGTTCCCTTAGATTCAATTATGATTGTTACTTAATTAACGTCAAAATGAAATGTATCTATCAATTTAGAGTTTCTACCCGCTCTTCTTTTTGTTTTCATCGCTGTTAAGTGAATTAATCCATCGCATCGATCGGAGTGTAAAGATAATCATCTTGAACGATATCGTCTACGGCACATTAAATTAAGATTGAGTCTTATCCCTCGATCGCAATCTAAACCTTTCCTCCCGATTTAATGTATTTCAACCGATGTATCCGTATTACAGCTATTGATTAGAACATTCGTAAATTCACCGAGTTTTTTAAGTATTATATGACACATCTGTTGCATAAATTTCTTTACGGTAACGTTTGGAATTACATGTTTTCGCGAAACTCAGTTTCCCTCTAATATTCACGATATTTACGTAGATAAACTTTTACTCATCTGACTATTAATTAGCATTAAACAGCACATTACTACGTCCACTACACATTACGAAGTCTAATTTACCGATGAAAATTCTGTGGATTGCGTGCTGGCTTAATGTTAAAGATGCCAAGCAATTCTTTACGTAATAACTTCTCTTGCGTTTTACAGCATGCAATGGAAACGGACACATTCGTTCGCGAGACCTTGTCGAACACTCATGAACTTTTGGATCCTCGTGCTCATTGTGTCTCCAAAGTGTAGGGAAAATCGCGTAGATTTCGTATTTTGGTGGAAATTTTCAAAATTTACATAGCTCGACTCAAGTTAAATTTTTCGTCGAGTGAATGGTGTAAGTTTCACAAAATGGATGTGAGTACAAATTACATATTTAAATATCAAATAATGATTTTACAAACTAAGTTTATTGCAATTTGGATTGTAAATTTCAAAGCATTTAAGAAAATAATTTCGCTACTATTTTATATCGCGTGTTCTAAAGCCAGACATATTTTAAAATTAAACTGTTAAGAAACTGTGTCTAAAATTTCTACTGCCGATTTTTCAACAGTAAAGATGATCTTGTTCTTTGTCCTTATTTATAGACGTTTATCGAAGGCGAAACTAACAGGTTGCAATGGCAAGACTATCTTGTGATCGGCGCAATTATGTCGGTCTCCGTCTTTATCGGGCTTTACTATCGATTCAGCGGTGGTCGACAAAGTACTGCGGCGGTTAGTTTATAAAAATTCAATTTCTACGCTACGGATCAATTCGTCATTAAAGCTATCCGATCGCGATAATCCGCACGCGAATATCATATCTGTACCGTTATGTACGCGATCCATTTCGTACGATAAATATTACTGTTCGCGTAAATTATGAACCGGCAATAAATTAAGTTCCGGGCGATTTTCCAAATGTTCGACATGTTAATTAACTGTTGCTGCGATTCGGTTCAATAATTCGAGAAGCGCTAATCGATAATGTATAAATCTCGAATGTCGAGTGAGAGATCAATTCAGACTTGTATCGTTTAAGTGGAACACGCTTGATTTCGCCTGTTATGACATATTAGCTTACGGCATTTCCCTCTTATCTCATTTCTCATATATTCTTAATGACAAAAATGCTCTCAAATAATTACCCTGCCAACTATAATTAGCCGAAGGTTAACATCTTCCATAATTTTATCAACGATAGATTTAAACTGGCATTTTAATTAACAACGCGGTTGTCTTGCTTGACGAATTATATATCCGGACAAATCGTATTTTGCCGACCAATATAGTTAAATGATTAGACATTTTCTTTAAAGGAACGTTATCGAGATTTACGTTGATTAATTTTATCTATCGCGATAATGACGGGCGGATCCACTTATGTTGGGCATCGTAAACGATGCTTCCTGCATACAAGGCTGCTGTTTAACTGATCGCAAAATTATCATCGATAGGAATACTTCTCCGCGGACAACTCATTAGGTGTCTTGCCCCTCTCGATCGCCATGATGGCCTCTCATGTATCAGGAATTACCATGCTCGGAATGAGCGGGGAATCTTATATCCGCGGCCTGATCGTTGTATTAATGTATACTACCGGCATTTTCATCGTGCCCATCATAGTCGTACTTTATCTGCCAGTTTTCTTCGAAGTGAAGGTCGTAAGCATCTACGAGGTAATTTTCCAAGAGATTGGAGGAGCAATATCGCTTACTAGTCTAAGCAATGTTTCAAAACTCTTTTGGGGAAAACCAGTTACGTACTAATCGAGTAACATTTAATATCGATACATTAAAGTCAAAGTTTAAATAGAGAAATGGCAGAAATTGTAAACTTAATGTGAAAATCAGAATCAAACATTTTCACAGAGTTTAAACTTTAATTGATTTCAATTTTTAATTATTATTATTTTTAAATTAAACTTTAAATTGCGCAATAATTTTGTTCATATGGATCTTCAATAAATCCGATTCTAAACGTAAGGAGAAATGACGTCTATTAAGCTGAC